TCTCAGCACGAAGAGCCCTAAGTATGAAGAGTAGAGCGGACACAACTGATGCAGTACAGTGAGAATCTGCCCCATGTATTTGTTTCTCTGAGGTGAGAGTGCCATATACCCATTCAGTTAAGAAAACTATCGGTTTGGGATGACTTTTTATTTTGAAGTGCACACCAAACACTTAGCTGCTAATTAGGTGCCAAAATGGCAGAGCTCCCTCCTACTCCTGCTTGGGAACAGGTCTCAGCAGCTTCGTATCCTTCTCACTGAATGTGATTTTCTGGGTTGAGCAGAGGGTTGCTTCAGTTGAACCCAGGTCCCTTCCTCTTTGGCATCTTTCTTTCTCTTTTGTTTTTTGAGACAGGGTCTCACTCCGTAGTTCAGACTGCTCTGGAACTCACTGTGTAGCCCAGGCTGGTCTTGAACTCTCAGTGATCCTCCTGCCTCAGCCTCCTGAGTGCTGGGATTAGATTACAGGTCTGCACCACCACGCCTGGGCTATCCTTCTTTTCTTTTTTTTTTTTTTTTTTTTGGTACTGGACATTACACTCGGGTCCTTGTGCTTTCGAGGCAGGCAGTGGAACCAATGAGCCAAATCCCCAGCCCTTTATTCTTTTTTTATCATTTTCTGTGACACATTTCAGGAAGCTATCCCAGCTCTTAAGTGCTTAATGTGCTCAATGTGCATGTTAGTTCTCTTGGCCAGTATCTTGCCCTTATTTTGCTGTGTACAGTGTGTAGGGAATACTATAGGCCCCTCCACTTTGCCCTGATAACATCTGCATGGCATTCCTTCCTCGACATCACCTCTTTCCATTGTGTTCATCATTTTGGCAAGTCACTGGAAGATGGCGGTTCAGCCAAAAGGAAGCTGAGTCCAAGATTTTGACTGGTAGTAATATTAGGGAATTACCACAAAAATTTTGTTAGAAGTTTATAATAAAAGACATTTTAATAGTTTCTGAGTTCAAGAGTTCTGTTTAGTAAAGTATAATTGCATGTATAATGTATAATAGGGAGGTTGTACGGGGGAGTGCTGAGGTTAATTACCATTTGACAAGAATTTGTAATGTACATTCAAAATTTTTTATCTTGTGAGGATTAAATTTATTTTATTAGTGCATGTATGCAGTACATTGTTTTGACTTTCCTTTTGTGGAGTTGGTACAAGTATATAACACATCTTAATTTCCTTTTTCATTCTCTTCTCTTCCCTCCCCCCATCTCCTGATTCCCTTTCCATTTGAAAAATATTTTTCTCTCTACTTCCTATTACCTTTAGTTTTGCTTTTATAATCTGGGTTTCTTATATACTGGTAAGATAAGAATTATAACTGATATTTAAGCTTGTGTATTTGACTGCTTTATATCTGACTTATTTCACTTTTAATTGTGATCTCAATGTGTCCATTTTCCTACAAATGACTCAAGTTTATCCTTTTTGTTAGAGTAGTACTCCATTTTATGTAAACACCACATTTTCTTTATCCATTCTTCTGTGGATGGACATATAGGCTGCTTCCAAGATGTAGTTGTTATGAATTAAGCTGCTCTAAACACGGGTGTGCATGTGTCACTGTAACATGAAGATACCTAGAAGGGTAATAGCTGAGTGGAATGGTCTTTCTTTCTCTTTCTTTCACTATGTAGGGGTTTTTGATGTTGTTGTTGTTGTTTGGGTTTTTTTGTTTCTTTGTTTTGTAGGTACTGGGGATCGAACTCAGGACCTTGCATTTGTGAGGCAGGCGGCAGCATCACTGAGCTAACTCCCCGGCCCTGACTCTTTTTAATTCTTTTGGGAAGATACCCAGCAGGGGAATAGCTGGGTCAAATGGGACCTCTAATCCTAGTTTTTTAAGGTATCTCCATACTGATTTCCATAGTAGCTGCACCAGTCTGCACTCCCACCAACAGTGGAGAAGGGTTCCTTTTTCCCCAAATCCTCACCAGGATTTGTTATTGGTTGATTTCTTGATAGCAGCCATTTTTCTGGAGTAAGATGGATATTGTTTTTTCAGTATTTTCATCTGCAACTCTCGAATGACCAGTGATGTTGAACATTTATTCATATGTTTATTTGCTGCTTTTACTTCTTTGTCTGAGAAATGTCTGTTCATTTCAGATGCCCATTTTTGAATTGGATGTTTAAATTGGGGGGGGGTCTGATTTTTTTATGTTCTTTATACTACATAGTAACCCTTTGTCTGAGGAACAGCTGGTGAAAATTTTTTCCCACATTGTAAGTGGTCGCTTCACTCTGTTGGTGGTTTCTCTTGCAGTGCAGAAGCTTTTTAATAAGGTGAGATCCCATTTGTTGGTTCTTTTTGCTATTTCCCATGCTACTGAGGTTTTTGTTCATAAAGTCTTTTCGTATACCTGTTCTACCTGAGCGAATTAGAACAATAGAGATGTGCCGCACTCTGCATCAGATTGGAGTCTGTTTATTAAAGCTGGTGGCCAAGAGGGGGCTAGTGCCCAGAAAGTTCTCTTGGCCTGGAGAAACGATTTAATTTCTCCTTTTAAATCATGCTTTCGGTTGGGGTGGGCTTGGGGTGAGCAAGCAGAATTTTACAGAAGCAGAACTATGCCAGGTTAGTGTGTTGGGGGTGCATAATGAAGTTTCACGTACTAGGTGAGCTACAAAACATCCTGTAACTGCAGCAAGTTTACTGCCAAACAGGATGTGAGGGTTTGGAGTGCTTTGTCCAAGTACAGGTACAAACTGGTGTTGAGGCTCAAGATGGAGTCAGGAAGACATCACATGCTGATGTCTTCAAGAGTTCTGTATAACCTATCTTCCAGAAAGTTTAGTATTTCTGTTTTAATATTTAGATTTTTGATGCATTCAATTTTAGTTTAGTACATGGTGGAAGATATGGGTCTAGTTTTAATCTGTGTTAGGTTGAAATCCAGTTTTTCCAGCACCATTTATTAAAGAGGCTGTCTTTCCTCCAGTGAGGATGTTTGGCTCCTTTGTCAAAGATGAGGTGGCTGAGATGTGTTTCTGCATCTTCTAATCTATTCCACTGATCCTTGGGTCTGTTTCTTTGCCAGTACCATGCTGTTTTTATCACAGTAGCTATATAGTAGTTTCAGGTTGGGGATTGTGATACCCTCTCTTGTGTCTTTGTTGCCTAGAAGTGCTTTTGCTATTCTTGGACTCTTCTGGTTCCAAATGAGTTTTTGGACTGTTTACTCTAGTTCTGTGAAATATACTGTTGGGATTTCAATTGGGATCTATAGCAGTTTTGGAAGTATGGCCATTTTCACTGTTGGTTCTTCCTACCCAGGAGCAAGGGATGTCTTTCCTTTTTTTTGTTTTTGTTTTTGATTTGTTTTGTACCAGGGATCAAACTCAGGACCTTGTGCTTGCAAGACAGGTGGCAGCACTACTGAGCTAAATCCCCAGCCCTTACCATTTTTTTGAATGATTTTTTTTTTTTTTTTTTTTTTTTTTTTTTTTTTTTTTGTTTTTTTTGGTTTTTTGAGACTGGGTCTCACTATGTAGTTGAGACTGACCTGGAACTCACTATGTAGCCCAGGCTGGTTTTGAACAGCGATCCTCCTGCCTCAGCCTCCCAAGTGCTGGGATTATAGGAGTGTGCCACCACGCCTGGCGCTCTTTCCATTTTTTTATATCCTCTTCAATCTCTTTTTTTTAGAGTGCTGTAATTTTCTTCTTTTTTTTAAATTGAGTTTATTGGTACTTTTTAGGTATACAGTATAGTTACATTCATCATTGGGATCTCGTACCTTTACATGATGTATCTTGGTTCTTATTTTTTCCCCATACATCTCCCCTCTTCTCTTCATCCCCTTCACCTTCCCTATTTACAAAGACTTTGTTTCCATTTTTTCCTTTTTTCATATTTTTCCTTTTCCCTTCTTTTCCCTACCCTTCCCACGTCCCCTACTCCTTTACCCTTGTCTTCCAATTTCAAGAGTGCTGTAGTTTTCAAGACAAAGGTCTTTCGCTTCCTTCTTTAGACTGAGTCCTAGATATTTCATTTTTGGGGGTACTATTATAAAGTGAAATATTTCCCCACTTTCTCTCTCAGTGAGTCTGTTATTTCTATGCAAGAAGGCTATTGATTTTGAGGGTTGACTTTGTATTCAGCTACTCTACTAAATCTATCAGTTAAGTCTAGAAGTCTTTTTTCTTTTTTTCTTTTTCCTGTACTGGGGATCAAACTTAGGACCTTGTACTTACCAGGAAGGTGCAAAGCTACTAATCTATATCCCTGGCCTAAGTCTAGAATTCTTTTGGTGGAATTTTTGTGGTCTTCAATGTAGAGTATCGTGTCATCAGCAAATAATGACAGTTTAACTTCTTCCTTTCCTATCCTCATTCCTTTTATTTCTTTCTCTTGTCTAATTGCTGTGGCTAATGTTTCCAGAACTATATTTAACAGGAGTGGTGATAGTGAATATATTTGATTTTAAAGTATAATTTATACTCTAGAGAGAAATAAGGACTAGGGTTTGTTTCTGGTGTTTAAACTGAGGCACAACTTTCCAGGTCTGTTTCTTCATCTTAAATGTGTGAAAGTTAGTAGTGCCTAATTCATAGGTTTGTTTTGAAGAATAAATAAAATAGTGCATGTAAAATACTTAGAGCTAAGTTGGGAATATAGTGAATGCTCAGTACATTGCTTAAAACAAGAAGGAGCTGGGACATAGTTCAGTAGCACTTGCCCAGCATGCTTAAAGCCCTAGGTTCCATCCTGAGAAAATGAAAGGCAGAAGAGAAAAAAGAAATCTCTGCATGCATAGCGATCTTTTTCTTCTTCATTATGCATTTTGATCTCCTCAGTCCCTGTGGCGTAAGTGTGACATTAAGGATGACAGGTCCTTCCACACTACGGGTGGCAACTAGAATCTAATGCTTTCTCTACAGCAGAACTGATTGTTTCCAAGTAGCACAGAGGTGTGCATGCAGGAACAGATGGAATTAACAAGGCTTTAAGGATTTTCTCTTTACATACTTTCTTTTATGTTTTAAAACAGTGCCTTTGAAGATGAGACTATGAAGCTTCGACAACTGAAACTAGACAATCAGGTGAGTAGAGTCTCCTCTTTTGAAATAAGTGGACAGCTGTACTGACTGTAATGCTAATGATCTTGGCTCTGAAGTCTTTGTAGGAAAAAACTGGAAAACAAAGAGCTCTGTTGGGATTTTGATTACGGTTTTATAGAGGAACAGAGTCAATAGAAAAAACTGTATATTTATATATAACTATATTATATATATTTGTCCTCTACGTATAAATTTGCCAGAGGATTTCTTAGTTAGGCCTACAGGATCAGAGGCCAATACCCTATAGTGATTGTCAGCAAGCTAAAGAGCCAGAGAATCCAGTAAGCTGCTCAGTCTAAGAAAATGGAAGTTACAGAGCAAGAGAGATTCAGGAGACAGCTGCAGTCCAAGGCCAAAAGACTTGAAGCCCCATGGAGAGTTGCTTGCATGGTCTGCATTGAAAGGCTGAAAAAGCTTGTGTCTGATGCCCACAGGCAATGGCAGTAGCAAAAATGCACCTGCTAAGCCAGACATGATGCCATACGCCTATAATCCCAGCAGAAGCAGAAGGCTCACCGAGAGTTTGAAGCCAGCCTGAGCTACATAGTGAGTTCAAGGCCAGCCTGGACTACATAGCAAGACCCTGCCTGAAACCACCACCACTCCGCCAAGAAAACATGCACCTGTTAGCAGAGTGGACCTTTTCAAGTGCAGGCTGACTTCCTCCTTCTTCCCCTTTCATTCTACCCGGGCTGTGAGTCTGTTGGATGGTGCTACCCACAGTCAGGGCAGCCCTTTCCCCTGCTTTTGCATGCCTGCGTGTGATCATCTCTGGAAATACTCCACAGACACACCCACTGATCTGCTAGGTGTCTTAATCTGGTCAAGTGGACAGTCACCACAGTTGCAGATGGTTACACTTAGCAGTCTCTAGGGTTGGTATTTGCTGCAGAATTGCCCTGGGCTATGGCGAGAACAAAGAGCTTTGAAGATATCAGCGGTAAAACTGGCCTCAGATTTATAATCAATGAAAATTCCTTGGCACCTTTCAAAGAATTATACACATAGGATTTTTTTTTTTTTTTTTTTAATGGTGTAGGGGATTGAACTGAGGACTTTGTGCTTGCCAGGTAGGTATGGCACCACTGAGCTATATCCCCAGTCTGTTCAAAGAATTAGAGCAATGTTGTATTAGTCCACTTTCTGTTGCTGTTACAAAATATCTGAGCCTAAGTATGTCATAAAGAAAAGATTTATGTAGTTTATAGTTTTGGAGTCTGGAAGTCCAACATAGGCAGCCTCATCTTTTGCCCTCTGGCAAGGACCCCTTGGCCATGTCCCAACATCAGGGAATCAAAAAGGGAAATCTGCAGAAGAGAGATCATACGGCAAGACAAGCAGCCAGAGATTCAGGGGCCAGGCTGGTTGTTTTTGTAATGACTTACTCTTGGAACCAACTGGAGTTCTAGGGTGAGAAGCACATTTCATCTCTTCCCAGGGCCAGGTCTCCCATAACCCAGCCATTTCTACTAGGCCCCTCCTCTGTTGGTTCTATCACTTCTCAGGTCACTGCACTGGGACCAGACTATCACACATGCTCAGACCACAGCACCTGTGGTGTTTCTATGTACTAGTCTGGTTCTGTTACGTTAAAGACACTGAATTTCATTTATCCTAAAATGTGATCAAAACTTGTTGCTGTGCTGCTTAATTTTCTTCCCAGCACCAGTCTGTTTTTTATTACAGTTTTATTGAAGTAATTTTGCTTGTTTGTTTCCTTTACTAATCTCCCTGAGAACAAAAACCAAGCATGGATTTTAAAAATATATTTTTAATTGACACATAACAGTTGTATATATTCAGGGAGTAAAGTGGAAAATTTCAGTACTGCATTTTGGTGGGGGGGGTACTGGGGATCGAACTCAGGTCCTTGTACTTGCAAGGCAGGAGGCAGAACCACTGTGCTAAATCCCTGGCCCTTAGTACTGCATTTTTAAGGAGGTTTGTTTTGACTATAGTACCACACATTTTTGATGACCGTTACATTAGACTTTCCTAGTACAGTGGTGCCTCTGTTAACGAACTTCATTCTTTCCACAATTCTGTTCACAAACAGAATTGGGCAAGAACCAAATCATAATTCCCCACAAGGCCAATATTGAACCTAACCATTGAATTTGATTTGGTTTTCATCTAATTTGGTTTGTGACTAGAATTGCAGAAAGACTTAAGTTCAAGAACAGGCTGGGGGCTGGGCGTGGTAGCACACGCCTGTAATTCCAGCACTTGGGAGGCTGAGGCAGGAGGATAGCTGTGAGTTCGAGACCAGCTTGGGCTACATAGTGAGTTCCAGGTCAGTCTCAACTACATAGTGAGTAGTGAGAAAAACAAAACAAAACAAAA